ATGTAGTTGCATTATCGATTCTAAATCGTTCTCATTTGGAGGGAATTAGTTTTATTATCGATTCTAAATCCTTCTCATTTTGTAGGGAATTAGTTGTATTATCGATTCTAAATCCTTTTCATTTTGTAGGGAATTAGTTGTATTATCGATTCTAAATCCTTCTCATTTTGTAGGGAATTAGTTGTATTAACGATTCTAAATCGTTCTTGTTTTGTAGGGAATTTCCAGTTGTATTATCGATGGTAAATTATTATTATTAATAGTTTTCACACTTTTTTGCACAGAGCTAACCTAAATTTTGACGCTATGGTTTTATAACAGAGTGTTGGTTGTCAAATAGAAACGAAAATATACCTCAAATACCGGAATATCAGACTTTCTGTAGTAAATCAACATATAATCAAAATGATGGCATCGTAGTATCAAAGAAACACTCGAAGCCACAGTTGAAGAAACAACCGTACACGACTGCAACTGTGTCACGGTAAAAATAGGAAAGAATGTTGCACTATTAGCTATGTATAGATCCCCTTCCTTTAGAAACACTGATAGGTTTCTGCTTTCCCTAAATCAGACCCTTACAGCCCTAACACCCTTCCCGAACATAATATTAACTGGTGACATAAATCTAAACATTGGTTCTGACATTCTTGACACAGGGACCAACAACTATTTAGATCTCTGCTCCTTTCATGGGCTCCAGCCTGCACATACCCTGCCCACACATCAAAGTGGTTCTTGTCTGGATCATGTGATGATTAAGTCTAAATTAGCATATATACCTTTGTCACTAACTCAACAATTACCGATCACCATGCTGTAATACTAACAATAAATTTAACGTCTCATAAGCAAAAAAGAATTCAGACAAAGTCCAAATTGAATATGAACCGTCTTGAAAATGATTTACGCAAAACAGATTTTAACCCAGTTTATAGTACCGCTGATGCAACTCTGTCTTTATCCTACTTAATAAATATTATACAGCAAGCTATTTTACGAAATACCACCACATCGAGAAATAGCAAAAATAATCACAATTTAAAACCGTGGATTACACCCGGCCTCCTTCGCTGTATAAGACATAGAGACAAACTTCATAAAAAAACTAGACAATTTCCAGATAACGCCATACTCCAACTAACATATAAAAGATACAGAAACTTCTGCAATAATCTCTTAAAAAAGATTAAAACCGAATACGATAGAAGCGAGTTGCAAAAAGCCGGAAACAATACCAAATCACTGTGGAATCACATAAAGTCTGTAACTTACTTAGCCAAACAGCGTGAATCAAATTCAGGCCTTTTGTGTAGTGATAACACACCACTGATATAAGCTAACAATGTAAACAACTACTTTGTTAACGTAGGTAAAAATCTTGCAGACCAGATAGTGAGTAATTCGCCAATCACACAGTCGCCTGTGCAATTTACAATAACAAACCAGAAAAAATCCTTTGTGTTGCTTGATACAGATGAAAATGAAGTAGCTAGAATAATCTCTGGACTAAAAGATGACTGTGCGGTCGGCTGTGATAATATAAGTAACAGAATAATAAAACGTTGTAAGAGTATACTAGTGCCCCTTCTAACCTACATATTCCGCTTATGTCAATCCAAAGGAACCTTTCCTACATCCCTAAAAAAGTTTTAGTAATATCTATCTTTAAATCAGGAAATAAAAACCTTGTAAGCAACTACAGACCAATATCCATTCTGCCCTCGTTATCCAAAATATTAGAAAAAATTATAAACACCCGTTTAGTAAATTATCTGGAGAAAAATGGCCTGATTTCACCCAGGCAATTCGGCTTCAGATCAAAACTGTCTACAGCGGACGCTGTTCATAGCCTAACTAATT